GAAAATCCTTTACCTATATCCTTTGTGCACTCAAACAAATGTTTCTGCAGGATAATTTTCTACAAGTCAGATTTTGGGGCCAAGGGCAATGGCTGATTGAAGGGTTTTGATGCCACATCAGAATATGGGGAAATGGCTCCGTTTTGCTAAGAGCTGAGCTACAGTGCCCCTTAAGGAAATTCACTGGGCTCCCCTTACCCCTGTGAAATTGTTCTGATGCTGTGCTGCTTGCTGTATCCGGCCTGTGAAAGAACTGGTCCAGTCCCGTTTGGAAAATCTGTGCCATCACAAGAGCTCTTCCCTTCAAAGCTTTGAGACCTCAGAAAGCAAGGCAACAAAAAGCAGAGGTGCAACGAGGAACGTGACAGCACAACACAGCACAGCAGTTAGGGGCACAGAGCCAGACTGCCATTGCGAAAAACAAGCCCACTGACCCAAAGGAGGGACGTGGAGACTCAGAGCACAGTGAAGCGAGGCTTTAATCAACATTCTTGTCTGACGGACGGGCACACTCTGGGCAGTTACAGCAGACAATTTATCTCCTAGCAGGCAAGTCCCTCCCCTGCTTCCTCATTGGCTGAGTACTACAGAGGTTACAGCCTTACCCGGAAGTGCCTATGCCCATGTAAGGCAAAAACTAGTCTGATTAGAACAAAAAGTACTCTAAGGTGACACAGAGACTTTCAGTCCCTCCTTTGTTCTTTGGCGCATGCTTCTTGCAAAGCCCATGAAAATAAGCCCACAAAAGGGAGAGGGGAAGATCCAGGAAGTAAAGTGTCTAAAGGTTTGGGACTCCATTGAGGGGCTGAGGGGTGTTCATACATATTTCCAGTAGGATGGAAACCTGCTGTTAACTAGACAGCACAGCTTTTACTGTAACAGCAAATACTTGGTGCCCAGAAAGAGACAAGTGACATGCACTTGAGGAATCAAGAACGACCGTTTATTTCGCACCAGTGCGGGCCCAGCAGAGTCACCTCCAAAGACTGAGCCCTGAGCCCTGGTGTCAGCCTCTTTCTATGGGTGGGATTGCAGGGGCTTGAGGGAAGGAAAAAGAAAGAAAGAAAAAGGTGGGGGCACTTATTGGTTGTGCTACGCGGGCAGCAGCGGATGCAGGAGGCAAACAAGATTACAGAAGACAAAAGCATGCAACGGGAGTATCTGGCCTGGGACCTCTGGCTGGCCCCTTTTATCTGCTTTTACCAGCTTTCCTTCTCGTTATTTGGTATTTCTGAAAAAGGAATCATCTCCCTTACCTCTCACGCTATGAACACTCAGACTCTCAAACCTGGGTGGGCACACGCATCCCACTCACAGCAATGCAAACTGGGCTGATTGCTTAACCTCTCTGAGCCTGACTTTCCTAATCCGTGAAAGGGTAGTGACAGTACCTCACATGCACAGTGACTTCTGGCTATCATTAACGTAACACAAAAAAATCCTTCTGTCCCCCAAATTTTATGGCATCAGAACAGGTTCAAAGAAGACATGGAGAAAAGGTTGTCAGCTTCCTAGATGAGATTTTTTTCCTTTTCCATGCAAAGGCACTTTGCTGGGGGCAAACAGACTGGATGAGAGGGGGTGGGTGAAGAGCGGGGAGGGAGGGCATAGCCAGGGCAAGAAAGTGTGTTTTCCCTAAGGGAAAAGTCCACAGTAGGAGGTAGAACCTCGGGTTTCTGAGAAGAGGTGAGGAGCTGGTGAATTAGTGTCCAGTTTACAGTGTTAAGGGGAGCTCTTGTTCTATGTGCACAACCTGATCAATAGATACATGTCCAGACTCTGGGTTGCTTTTAACAGATCTTTTAACAGATACTGATTGATTATGCCTCACCCCCCTTGGACATCAGATAACTGTGTAAAAAATAATATCTTTTTTTTTGGGGGGGGGGCTTCAGCGTCCCAAGTATGGTTGCACATGTTAAAAAAAAAAACAAAAACAAAAACAAAGAATATTGGGCGCTTAGGTGGCTTAGTCAGTTAAGCGTCTGACTTCAGCTCAGGACATGATCTCCTGGTTTGTGAGTTTGAGCCCCACGTTGGGCTCTACACGGACAGTGCAGAGCCTGTCTGGGATTCTTGCTCTGCCTCTCTCTCTCTGTCTCTCTCTCCCTCTCAAAATAAATAAACTTTAAAAATGTTCGAAAGATCTAATTGGGTTTATTAAGTGATTCTCTACTTGCTCCATGTAGCAAGCAGAGAACTTGTATAAAATGGAAGGTTTTTATTGGAAGGAGGTGAGACAGGAAAGTTATTAGCAAAAGAAAAGAAAGGATTGTTTCAGGCAAGATTACCTTTCCCTCAGGGAAAGGGCACTGGGATCTTATTATGCAGATCTCTTCCTTTTCCTTTAGGGGCTATGGGGAGATGTAGAAGGCCCATGTGACAGATTACCTCATTGATGCTTACCATAAAATTCCTGACTGATCATTTAAGACTACATTTCTGGGGGAGGTTGAAAACTGCAATTAGGTTAGGTAGGAAGTCCCGCTTTGGTGACTTGGCCTGGCCCAAGTGACATTTTGGGCCTGTGGTTTTCTTTTTATTACTCAGGATGTCTATGTGGGTGATAATCCTAGTCTTGGGCAGTGCACAACCTGCACAACTGCACATTGAACTCCTGCATGAACTCAACCTTCTAATGCTTCTCCTTTGCATTGTTACCACCCATGGTCCCATATGGACTATAAAGTCCCTGAGGAAAGGCACATAGAGTTTTTTTATACTCATACAGTACCTGGCATTTAGTTGATGATCAATCATTCTCCCCTAGTACTCTGTTAGGGGGCCTCTTCCGATCAGCTCCAGGGAGAGAAAGCAACCGTCTTGCGGGCTGCTCCTGACCCTCCAGGTACACCCAATCCAAGTTGCACACACACACCCCATCAGCCTCCAGTACCCAACATTAT